ATCCATGGAATAACGTAATGTGGTACGAGAACGGAACCAATCATAAGCGCTCCGCATCAATTGCAGTGAAACGGTGATTGGTTTTGCTCTTTCACATTACGCTATTCCGCTTCATGAGTAGGCATCCTTTGAGTGAAGACAGATAGAGGCTGGATTCGGGGCCGCTATTCATTCTACAGGGTGGGCCATCTATTGGTACGTTTTTAAAAATGCGATCAAATGAGCATACATTGATATTTTTTATTAATTTTTTTTTTGTTGTGAAGCTAAAAGTATCCGCGTCAAGAATGAAAAACGATTTCGTTCATGTGGCTCCCTCTACTGGCCTTACAGTATGCCATTCGGTCACCCCAATTATTAATGACATTTTGGACTACCTCGGCGCCAATTTCACTCAAAACAGTCGTAATATAATGTCATCCACTAACATCCCTTTCTCACGAACTTTCCTCACCAATTTGCGTATAGCTCCTTCGGTGGGTGCTCTATCACGACCCATATTTCTTTTCAAAATTCGTACAGTTTCGGCGACACAGCACTGACTTTGAAAATAAGTTTTTAAAATTTCAAAACGCTCTTCAAGAGAAAACATGTTGTTTCGTGCCGCGGACGGTATGACTAATAAACTGTCAAAATTTCGGGTCTGTAGCTCGTTCGGTGTTGCCATACGACGAAATTCAAAAACGTACCAATAGATGGCCCACCCTGTATCTTCATCGTCCATTAAATATGAAACAAGAATAGTATGACACAAATAGCATTGATAGTGCGCTTCCCAAACGCAACTATAAGGTCCATTCGCGTTACTTACAACTTTTGCACTCAGCATCTTGACTTTCTCTTTTTTCAATGTCCAAATATGTATCTATTTCATTTTAATTTCGAAAATTTTGGGGAATTTTAGGTAATAAAGAAATCAATAGTTTGTTTCACTTTTATTACGCTAGTTCAGAACTATTCGAAAAAAAACCACACTTCTAGATTAACTAGAAAAGGTGTTTGGCAATGTAAATCTGAGATGCGAGCTTGTGTTACGTCCGAGGGGAAGTTCGGCCGGTCCTCCGGTTTCGAATTAACCGGGAGACTTTACGTTAGGTTAAATTTTCACGATTTGTACCGAGGGAAAGGCCTATCTAAATTTGTCTAGCTCCATAATTGATTAAAGGCGGGCGCGGAATATTTTGATAGTAAATTCCGGGTAGTTCCACGGCTGCTCCCCCGTTCTACCCAGATACGCGATAAATTTCTCTAGTACCTCAGGACACTCTGGACAAATTTAAATTCATAAATTGAGGATACGCAGAGTGATCGTTAGTACGGAACATGCACTACAGAATTCGAAACGATCGGGAAAGCCTAAATGTATGTAATGTCTTAAAACCTCCTGGTAATGACTCTTTTCGTCTTCCGACGCAGAAGTGTAACACTCCGGGCACTTGATTATACCGCTTTCTCTGTGCTGAAAAAGTAACGACGATACGCAGCATGCACTAAATAATCACGTAGAACGTCGATTCACCGCCAAGATTTGAGCATCAATAGATGGACGTGAACGGGGAAATATGGGGCACATCCTTTGTGCGACTAGCCGTGACTTGATTTCTTAGAGAAGGGGGTTATATGATATTTCACTTATCTTACGTTATCCAGCTCGAATTTAGTCGTCGGAGATTCTGGATAGTAGTTGCGGTCTGCGCTGCGCTCGAGATGCGAATTCGCAAATCTGATTGGCGCAGCCTCCTGGTTTCTTTGTGCGAATTGGTTTGCAGCACACATCCACTTCGCAAATAATTAGTAAATACGATTGCATTCAACTAACGCTTGATATTACGAATGCTTTTTAAGAGATCGAGTGGAGTTTTGTTAAAAGAGATATGCACATGCACGTTCATTTAAATCAAGTACAAATATATGTATTTGTTCGTTAGATTACACAAAAGTGACTAAAGTTACTTGTATTAACTAACAGTTAGATTCGGATCTTATAATAAAACTGAATCTTACACTAGAATTACCAGGTCAGATAGAGACCGAATTAAGATTAGAGTTTGAGGCAGAACTTATTGCTAGAAATTGAAAAGGGCTGAGTATTTAGATTTGGAACCGGCGCGGCGGTCGGAAAATAACTAACTAACTGACTCTATATCTACTGATCTATTGCCCATGGGCATTCGAAAAAGTCCCCCACTATCGGCTCATGACATAGGCGGTAGTGAGAGTGGGAGAGGCGTCAGGTGCGGCTCTGGCGGTCCGATGTTCGGGTATGTACTCAGGCTCGCCAGTGATGAATATATTTACTTGTGAATTTTGAAAAATATTTTCTGGACAAATTTTTAGGATAGTTACGGACGTGACACTTGATTATCGAGCGATCTTCGAGCAATAGGTGCGTTCGACATTGCAAATAGGAGATGTCCGTTTGCTCTTTTTTGCATGATCTACAATAGGCAGTAGCAATAGGGGATTAAAGAGTAGGCGTAGAAATCAACTAATCATAGTCGAATGTGAGGAGGATAATCAACTATGATTGGTCGATTTCTACGCTTATTCCTTAATCCATTACTGCTACTGCTCATTGTAGACCATGCATTATCTCGAAAATCGTTTGCATCTTTCTGCTACATGTCATCTCATCTGCGTTCGATATTAACATTTCTAGAGCCAATTGAGCTGCTCGATCCAGTCGGCAGATGGGCACTGCTCGCGGGCGTCCAATTACTCGCGGACAATATGTAGTTGAATGCGTTAAACAAATAGTTGAACGTCTTTGAGCAATAAATGCTATAAGGAGAAATAAGGGGTGTCACATGGAAGACGCATTTTCTTTCTCTTGTATAATACAATATAATATTCTATAAAATAATAATTATGTATACTTTTTATATATTATTATATATAATTATATACATTTTTCTTAATCTGTAGTATTTATTCAAAAATTATTCTTCTAATTATTTTTCAATTTTTCTTAATATTTTCCTAATATGTCGAACAGTAATTGTAAAAAAAAAACATAGACATTTTACGTAATGCAAAAGAATTTCAGATACTATTCAGGAAAAGTATTAAAAAATATTCTTTCATACAAATTTATAATAGATAATTCCAAATTAGTATAAAATAATAACAATGTAGGTTTCGAATAAATGCTTTTTATTTATAACAATAATAATTCGTTTTTACAAATTCATATTTGATTGATTACAATCTGATATTATTTGCGATATATCAGGTGTTTCTGACATAACGAAGTATCACGTTTAAATGCGAATCTGTTAAAAGTCTGCGCAGTCTTGACTTATTTAATTTCATTGTAGAAAATAATTGTTAGCATGAATAAGTAGAGCCAAACATACTTATTATTTTTGCAGCGTGAACATGTAATCGGGAAAAATGCTCTTGTGATACATATGAATAAAATTGCATAATGTCATATCGTTGTGTAGAAACGATTTTAAAATGTCACATCTCGATTAATTCTAATTGTATATCTACGGAAACGATATTAATATCAACAGTGAGAGGTCATAAAGATAAGAAAATTTACTTCTAAAACGTGCATTTCCCTGAAGCGATGATCAAATTCATTATGCAATAATTGAAATAAATTTATATACTTTTTGTATTGCTCGTCTTTAATGTGCAACAACAGATAATAAATTTGGAAAATATAATAACTGTCGGGATTGAAATTGATTAATCCATAAATTAAGTTTCATTTTAAAAAATTGAATTTGATCGAACATATGAACTATTAATTTATCCTTGCCTTGTAAATGTCAATTTAATGATATTCAAATGATTAGTGATATCCACAAAAAAAGCAAAATTGGCGATCTAGAAAAGCTGTGATAGTTCAGGCACAGATTTATTTTTTATTTCTAAAAATATAGCTATTTCTTCGTGCAAATGAAAGAAACGCTCAAGAGTTTTATCTCGACTAAGCTATCCATCTCGTTTCGCTAAAATAGGGGATCAGTATAGTTTGACTCTAAGAAGATAAAAATTCGCGAAATTGACGATGATTCAATCCTGTAGTACTAATGAAGTTTATAACTTTAATTACAATTTTCATTACTACGTTACACTTTAAAGATTTTGCACACAATGTCTCTTGATGAATTGAATGTATTTCTTGTCTTGATTGCCTCATAAATTTAGACTTCAAATGTCCTACGAAGTCCGCATTACGTTCAATCATTACTGCAGCACCATAGTAGCAACTGATTTTTATAGTTTTTCTAAGCTAGAGATAATTTGATGAATGTCTATTTATATTGCTACTGTTATTTAATTATTTATTTATTTTTTATTTTGCATGTTCAGCAGAATATTCATTGCTTCTATTTAAAGAATTTAAATAAAATATATTTATTGTTTACGTTATTTATTGCTTTTATTTAAAGTAATATCTATTTATCTATTTATCTAATTTAGTATTCGAGACCAAAAACTAATGCTCATATGCGCGATGCTATTTTTGTGATAAAAAAAAGCATAAAATACAAAATTTCATTCTAAGGTACAAAGAAAATAGAATATGCTCTTGAGTTGTGAATGAAATTGATTGTAGATATGCACAATAGCCAGGCATTCGCGGGTGCCCGTGCCCAGTTTCAGCATTTTGCCGATCCCTGTATTATCAGTTTTTAGTAAAACGAAAGAATCGAATAAAGTAAAGAATGCCGAACGATCAAACTTAGATGTTACGAATATATTTAATCAATTTATTTATGATTGCGCGCCGATAATTGTCGGACTTTTAATACAATCATTATGAAACGTTTAATAACCCTCTCTAAATAAAACCCCTAAAAAACGGAGAGAAACTTATTGCGAAAAATATTATCTCAGCAAGAGTTCGGACCTGAGACCTCTCAACTGAGGCGAAAGAAATTTTCAATAGGGTATTTTATTTTATAAAAATAAACAATTTCATTTTATAATCTAATCTTAAAGGACAGTTTATAGCTCTGTATCGTTCGGAATTAATTCTTGGATTAGATGCGGCAATGTAAATCTGAGATGTGAGCTAGCCGATGGCGAGTTTGATCACGTGATTTTCAAGCAATCCAAGTGTCAAGAATATACCTATTAAGAATAGATCGTTATACATGAATGTAGCAGATTCATACGCAAGGTGTGTTTTCTTAAAAGAAAATGCTACATTGCAACATAAATTTCAGCAATTTGAAATTTATAAGTTATGTCACTTAATTTATATTCGTTAGTCTTTAATATATTAATACAGTTTGATTTTATTTCATTCTATATGTGTAACATAAGCTTTGATCTAAAAATTAACTAGCAAATTCTTTGTTTTCAAATACGTAACCTCAAATTCATTAAGAAAAAAAGAATTAAAAATTTACTTTCCTCATTAAATATTGTGTACGTAATATACATCAATTTCTATTTGATAACATTTGTTTGAGCGTTTGTAGACTCAGACATTATAACAGGTCAAATACATTATTTGTAAAATAGAAGTATTAAAAAAAATGAATGTATGTATTAACGAATCAGTTGGATACATTATCATAAATATATATAATATATTATGAATTTAATTTAGGCGTTAAAAATCTGCATTATATATAGCTCTGCAAGCTCAGTCTTTGAATCCAGAGTGGATCGAGCAGCTCGATTGGCTCTAAAAATATTAATATCAAACGCAAATGAGATAACATGTAGCAGAAAGATGCGAACTGCTGAACGATTTTCGAGGTAAAAGAGCAAACGGACGCCTCTGATTTGCAATGCTGGACGCACCTTTAAAAGAAACTCCTTTTTATTTCTTATTCACTACTCATCATTGTCATCACAATGAATGTTCCTATACACAACACAATCTTTAAAAAAACAGTTAACTTCAGTTAACAATATAACATTTATTTAGTGAGATACAGTCTATTATTCTGGTAATTAGAAACATTGTAACCTTAAATAAAATGTATCCATGTAACATCATCAATGGTATCCATAATTTCTCTTGGAATGAACCCGTGAAAGACTTACTGCCATAATAAGCTGTAAAAAAAAAACAATGTTACAAATGGTACTCTTCATTTAGGGACGTGTCTTCTTTTTTTTTTTAGTTCTGAATGTTAAGATATAATGCTATTTATGTCAACTTATGTTACTAAACAAAAAGTACTCAAAATCTACTGTTCTAAATAATTCAAAACACTTGTCAAATTCTTTTGCAATCGCTTACTTCATAAGGGTTAATTCAGGCATGCCTGGGTCAGCACCTTTGCTGAATCCTGAAAACAAAATATTGAAACTTTTTAGTATTGCCATGCAAACAAAATAATAGGTCTGTTTACGTTGCTTGTACTATTTACACACAGTGTATCTTCGCTTTTTTCCTTTTCAAACCCATATATATATAATATATATATGTATATATATATATATATGTATATATATTCCGTTTTAAATGCAAAAATTTTTAGGAATATCAAGCAATGCAAACCAACCAAATCTATCGATCGGGTACATTCTATTTGGTGTTTATAATGCTCACGAACATTATTGCAGCCTTGTTTAATATTTGATGAATAACAAAGATGAAATGATGATCGCGAGAGTTAAAAGAATGTTAAGTGGAACATATTCATTATAAGATTTGAAAACTAACCTAAAAAGAGTACGGCAGGAATAAAACCCCATTGAAACACAAATTTGCTCACATTCAGGACAATGGCTATCCTCTGTTTCGTAGTCGGACTTAAAACCATTTTGACTATATTAAGATTTTTAGCAACGCTTGTGTCAAGTCGTTAAAGTCCTACTTTTACATCAAGCAACGCAAAACAACGTGCCCACGACAAATTCAGACAAATTGCGACAAACCGCGACGACTAACGTCCAATGTTGCCAACTCGTTAAGAGCTTTTCTTTCTAGTTTCTTTTAGGCCTAGTCACAATCAGTCGGGAGATGCGTTGTATTGTATTGTATATCGTGCCGTAAAAAATTAACCAATTATAGTCGATTGTTTCTTTCCATGCGACAGCCGATAACCGAATACGCATGTATTCGACATCCGACGTACAATGTATTGTAAAACAGAGGGTCGATTCTGTATCTTCAAAAAAGGAAAATTACAAAAGTGAGCAAATTTACTAGGTGTTGACTAATGAAATTATCAGTATTCTAGTAAATTTGTTCACTTTTATAATTTTCACCTCGTTTCAAGATACAGAATTGATCTCCCAGGCCTTACGGGCATGTTCGGATGCCCACCTGAAGCCCTATTCTTGAAAAGTATTGCATACAAAAAACTAGAGAAATACTATAGTATGCGTTACATATATAGAATTTCCCTAATTTTTCGTATGCGACTTTTCAAGAATAGGGGCCCTGGGTGCTATTATTGCTGCTCGAGACAGGGGGTTGATTTTGTATCTTCAAACAAGGTGAAAATTACAAATGAGAAAATTTTTCTAGTGTTGACCAATAAAATTATCAGTATTCTAATAAATTCGTTCATCTTTGTAATTTTCACCTCAGAATCGATTCTGTATCTTGAAACGAAGTGAAAATTATTGGGTCATCTAAAAAGTATCCGCGGTTTTTTGTCACTAGATGTGTGTTGATGGTCATATATCTAATGACAAAGTACCGCGGATACTTTTTAGATGACCCAATACAAAAGTGAGCGAATTTACTAGAATACTGATAATTTCATTGGTCAACACCTAGTAAATTTGCTCACTTGTAATTTTTACCTTGTTTGAAAACAGAATTGATTCCTTCGTTTCAAAATACAAAATTAATCCTCAGAACACATTTTTGGAGGCACAGAAACACGTAAATCCTATCCAACTACTAAATTTTGATTACTAAAAAGAAAAACATGTAGAAAATACAAATGGTATAACACAACCATGGTCCACTATGACATAACTATTAAAAATAAATAAGGTATAGAAAATAATTTATTTATACAAAAATGTATTTATGGAAATCTTCAAAAACAAAGATATTTTTTGTAATTATTCAGAATCGCTTCCTCAGCTCAAATTTTAATAAAAATATACTCATTTGACGCGTTTTAACTCACACGAAAGAATCTGGCAGAAAAATGCAACACTCTTGTTTCCGAAACAAGTTATTAAGTGTTAAAGTTTGAGACATTAGAGATTTTTCAAACCTGTTGGCTATGGGATAGAGAGATCCAAGATTTTCCATCCTTTGTCGTATATGACAAAAACCTACAAATTAAATAACATGTTTAAAAATACAAATTTTCTACTAAACAAATTCATTACTTTAAAATTATAAATTCACTACCTTAAAACAGAAATTCACTACTTTAAAAACACAAATTCATTACTTTAACAAAGAAAATGTTCTTAAAGCAGTGAATTTATGTTTTAAAGCAGATTCGCAAAATTGCTTTGCATTGACATATGTAGCTAACAATGCTAGTGTTGTACTTGTTTTAAATTTCGCGAAATATTGTGGTCACAGCGCAATGTGCATGTAACTAAAGTATGCATATATTGGTACACTTAAAGGTGATATTTTATTTATGCCTTTTTGTTGTATGATAAATTTTTCAAGTCTGTTGATTGGTTATGGGATAGCGATCTGAGGACCTTTCTGTTCTATATACATTTGTCATACGACAAAAACACACAAATGAAATAGCATCCTTACGCTATTAATATATATTGTCTTTCAGCCGGAGCACTGGGTTACATACATTCATTACGTACATAACAGCGCTAAGCATTTACAAGGCGTAAGGATGGAATGAATTAGAATAGGGGATAAAAAATTTTTATACCCCCTGCACTTAATTCTCCATCATAGTTCCGAGGATCAAATGGGAATTTTCCACGGTTGTTTTTTATTTATTAGATTATTGAATTCTATATAATGAAAATTGGAATGATACTTTTAAATGATATTTGTCACCTGTTTTATTTAAAAAAAAATGTAACTAATTCAATTTTTGTAAGTCCCTGGTGAAAATTTTTCTCAGAATTTTTCATATAATTTTTAAAAATTTCTATATGATTTTTCAGAACTTCTAAATATTTTTATAACTCTCACATTTTTTATACGAATTGGAAATCTCAGAAAATGTACACCTTTTCTCAGAATTTTTCATATATGTTAATTATGAAATATCATAAGATTTCTAAGATTTTTTATAAATATAATTTCTGATAAAATGTTATAAAATCTAAAAAATTAAAAAATATTTTTTAAAAATTGGGATGAGAAATTTCAGAATATTTCAGAATTCATTTGTATGAAAAATTCTGAGAGAAGATGTAAACTTTTCAAATATTTCTGAATATTTCTAAAAAATGTTTCAATTTGTATAAAAATTATGAGAAAAATTTTTACTAGGGTAATAAAACTTTTATGAATTAACACAAAATTATATATTGAGAGAACTGATGTTCCATTAATTGTAATGCAATTGTAGGATAACAATAACTGTAAGATATCAAGGCTATGTTCCATTGTCATGCCGCAATTATTTACAGTTGGTCGACTATCTCACTACCGATTTCTTAGAGGAACAATATAAAGGGCAACGCGACCTCACAGACAAAATCTCAGTGTTGGGTAAAATGATGCAAGTGCATGGACCTTTGGGAGAATTTTTATCCGATAAGAAATTATTGAGTGGTGAAGTCTAAGTGTTTTGGTGACATCAAAATGCTGAAATTCAGCTTGAGCTATTCTGTATATATATATATATATACACGTAATGTATACTATAGCATATAGAGTGAAATCCTCGGAGAAGACTTTTGGAATGTAGCTCAAATACAAAACCCTAAAATAACCTGTCCAAAGGACACCTAGAAATAAAAAGGGAAGAATCTAGTAGTCTATGATACAATTTAGAAGTAATGACTTAGAATAAGATTTTTTTTCTTATAAAATGCTATTTACTGTACCAATAATAAATATAGTTGTCGAGAAACAATATAATTTGCTTTAAGGTCGAGATTAATGATCTATTATAATTAGTTCGTCGATACCCCAATCTTCATAACTATTATCAGGCAGGTAGCGGCGTATAATTATAGGAATTTTTCGTTGCTTTAATTCCTTCATAGCAATTTGCAATGGGTCTGTCTCACCTTCTAATTCTACCATCACAGGAGCACACATTGCTATCTGCAATGCTCTTGTGCCAAGAACTCTTGCTCTTTCATATCTAAAACACCAATTATATGATTTTGAGAAACTATTCATACACACACACTATATATATATATATATATATATATATATATATATATATATATATAAACTACATACTTAGTCATATATCTCGTCGTTATTCTCTTTGATCTTTGAACACCACCAGTAGCTTCATTAGCATTCAACAATTCGATGTTCTCACCATCATCTTCCTGAGGCTCTAACTCAATGTTGTCCTCGTCATCTACATCGTCGAAATCATCTGCGACTCTATAGAATACAGTTAAATTAGCTTAAATTACAAATAAATAATCTGTCTATATAAATTGTATTTAGTCATCAAATTTTTTCTAGCGCTTTTTAATTTACAATAAAGAATAACTGTAATAAAAAAGAAACAAGTTTGACTATTTCATTAAAGAATATGATACAAGTAACCTATACACCTCAAACAATTCTTGATAACTTACTCGTCTCCGTCGAAATCTTCATCAGCCATTATTTATTAATTTATATTTATTATAGGAATGCGTATATATTTTGTTTTCTTGGTAGTACTTATATAATTCGGTTCCAATAAACACAATTTCAAATTTGAACAGTATTTTTATATTTCATATCAGATTATTAATGTCTTTCACGTTCAGACTGGATGTACGCAACGCAGCAAAATCAAGCCAGTGTTGCTGGCTATAATGATCCCTTTTCTGGCGCATGCGCATTAATAGCATTTTTCACTAGTGTTTTCACTGGTTCAATAGTTGAGTGAGCGTTCGCTATTATTGGTGTATTTTTTTACATCCAATCAGCAATTTAGATCTGGAAGAATAATCAATAACATATTCTTATAAAAAGATAGTTAATACTCCTGAAAATCTTCTTTTTGAATTTTATTTTCATATTATTTATTTTTTAAACAAATTTGATTTTCATTCTATTTTATTGGATCATCTAAAAAGTATCCGCGGTTTTTTGTCACTAGATGTGTGTTGATGGTCATATATCTAGTGACAAAGTACCGCGGATACTTTTTAGATGACCCAATATTTACCTCTATTGTCATCCTTCTTTAATTTATTCATTATAAAATTATTGACTCTCTCTCTCTGCTTTCAGCAGAATATTTACATTACAGTTGTTGAAAGTTTTCGCGATGATTAAATTATATTTTAAAATCTGAAGGAAATCTGGTCTTATTTCAGCAGCATTCATAAAACGGTTCCCTAACAGCACAAATATCGATATGTCGACTGTAAGTTAACTTTGCTAAGTCAGGCCTTTAAACTGTATGGGTGCGTTCGGGGAGATACTATTCGCGCTTAGAGAGCCTATAATCAGAGAGGCGCCATACGAGAGATGACGCCATATTTTAGCGAAATTCTGCAAGAGAGAAAGAAATATATGGTTTCAGTCTATCCAACAGACTGTCAGTTAGTTTTAGGGTTAAGTGCAAGCATTGACCGACATAGATACGTAAAGGTACATTGATAAAAATAAAGTTATCGAAATTATTTTAGAAATATGGTTGGATGTACAATATCGTTTTGTAACAATTCATTAAAAAAAGGATATATTGGGTCATCTAAAAAGTACCCGCGGTACTGTCATTAGATATATGACCATCAACACACATCTAGTGACAAAAAACCGCGGATACTTTTTAGATGACCTAATATTTTAAATACATTATTTAGATGACCCAATATTAAAATAAAAATGTAACATAAAATATACATAGATTAATTATAATATCTGAAGACACATCTATCTAATCATATCACAATATCTAATCATCACATTGATTACGAATTTAATTCTTTCTCTTTTTGTCGTAATCTTTTCAATTATATATCATTGTGAATCTAAATCAAATGATATGATAATTACGATATTTAATATTGGGTCATCTAAAAAGTATCCGCGGTTTTTGTCACTAGATGGTGTTGATGGTCAACACATCTAGTGACAAAAAACCGCGGATACTTTTTAGATGACCCAATATAAAATGTACAATACAAATATATATATATTGCAATAGTACAAAATAAATGAAATTTTATAATAAATGATATATGTAAAAGTTTTATTATTTTATATACAATATTATATATATTATTATTTTATATACAATATTTATTTATTATCATTTTTTAATTTGTCACAATTTTTTAGCATCTTTTAGCATGAATTCAAAATTTAGAAAATAATGCGTTTAAAAAACTGGAGGGAATGGCTAAAACATTGTGGACCAATCACATGTGATACCCGTATAGCGCCATTCTGATTATAGGCTCTCTACACTAGAACTCTCTCGCTTTCGAAATATCAAATATATGTTTGAATATCTTTTTGAAATATATATTTGAAATGGATATTGCATGGTTTCTCGTTATAAATGGTGCAAAGAGGAAGAGCATGCAGTTGACAGGAGAAAATTTTGCATATTAAGAAAACATTTGCGTGATGTTAAATTAAATATATGAGTAAAAGATAAAAAATATGAAGTACATAAAAATCACATGAAAATTTAAAAATGAGAATTATAATAAAAAATAAAAATTTATGAAACAGGTTAAAAAATAATCTTTTTCCATTCAGATAAGATTTCTCCAGCCTCAATCCGAAATTTAGGGTTTGTGAACTATGTTCTCCCATATATTTTTCTACGAGTTTTAAATACATATTGTTTTTTTACTACATACAATCAAGAACGAGAGTAATGAAATAACATGTTTTACCAGTTCCATATGGCTCTGAGAATTTCGCAACACCTTTCTCCATATAATATTCAAATTTTTTGACATTATGTTTAACAGCATTTCCTTTTGTTTTTGAGTTACATTCATTGGTATTCTCGATTATATGTATAAGGAACAATAATATATGTATGAGCACAATGTGATTTCCTATCAAAATACGTATGTAAAGTTATGAGAAAGTGAAATCAGATGTAAGGAAGTTACGAAAAAGTGAGATCATAAGGCGAATTTACATCATTCCTCTTAATTTACGAAAATTTAACAAGTATTCACGAGTGTATGTGCATACTTGTATATACGTACACTCGTGAACACTTGTTAAATTTTCGTAAATTTAGAGGAACGATGTAAATTCGCCTTATGATCTCACTTTTTCGTAACTTCCTTACATCTGATTTCACTTTCTTATAATTTTCTTACATAATAGCAAATGAGAGCAGGAAACGAGAATGGATTAAAACGGATTGAAATTTTTTTCTATCCGAATGCGTATTTTAAATAGCGATTACTTTTTTTTGGATTTAATTGGATTTAATTGGATTCAATTCAATTAGATTCAATTGGATGTAATTCAATTAGATTCAATTGAATGCAATTGGATTGAAAAACTGCATTTCCTATTCATTTTGAATTGAACAGTATTCACAATGCATAGAAAAAGCTAATTATTTATTTTATTATTTTTAGAATTATTATTTTTAGATTGAAAGGCATAGAGATATCCAATTCCTATAAATGAATAAAAATGCATTCAGAATTGAAAAGCATTCATTTTAACATTCGTGAATCAATATTTCTGAAAATCTGAATCCATTTCAATTCATTTCAATCCATTCTCGTTTGCTGAGTCTGATATCATTTGAAAATGAAACTTTTCACATACGAAAAGTGAAAAAATGAAAGTTTCGTGAAAATTTCATATAATCGATACCCTGGATTAAGTTATTATCATCGCCTCTAACGGATTTCGGACAATAAGGGGGTCACATTAAACTATAGAAAACCTACTCCGTACCATAGGCCTGCATTTGATTATCAATTTTCGACGTAGAATGAACGTTATATCAACGTCACTTTTCTGGAATCACAAGCGTTGGATGGATCGGGTGATACCAAAGATATCGATCATGAAACTTTTTCCTAGGATGAAAAGTGAAAAGTGAAAAATTTTTCCAATGATTAAAATTTTCATTTTTCACTTTTTATCCTAGGGATAAAATTTTATGATTGATATCCAGAGAGTATAGGGTGTGATTATATGGAGCGCGGTACAGAAACTAACTATACGAACCGCGCAAACCGTGCTGCTTATTTCTTTTCTCTTCTATTACATGGAGTTAGTGAAGGTGACCATGGAAGGTGACAAGAATTCGTTCTTTGCTAAAAGAAACTTTGTGTGCTTGCATAAAGTTGAACCGCCTTAACTGACGTACACATTTGATGGTGTTATAAGCTACCCTAATAACGATGTTAAGAAAGTAGTAAGAAGAAAAGGAAGGTTTTTATTAAAAATACATAGTGTATTCATGAATAATAATAAATTTTGTTTTTTATTACGTCTGTAGCCGATTTATCATATGAATGATGCACAGTACCTAAGAGGTTAAAAGAGGAATAATTCATTACTATAACCTTAATTTAGGAAAAATTTGGAACGGGTTAAATCGAGATAAAGTGTTAAAATTTGAGATTGTCTCTCCTAATTTGAGACAGTTGGTCACTAAGTGTACAAGAGCATCCTGTATTCTGTATTGCTCCGTATGTTCCATCATTGGATGGAGCAGCTACGTCATTTTACGCATGCGCACAAAGTTTCCTAAAGTGGACGAATTCTTGTCACCTCCTGATGGAGCGCGGTTTGCGGTATGGGCTAGTAACAAACTCACATTATTATACACTGCTATGCACTTTTTAATGAAATTAATGATATAAATGCAATTATTAAGTAAATCTGTTAAAAAAATAAGAGTATCGATAAAGTATGCATAAAATAATATATTAAATAAAATAATATAAAAAAAATTCATAACTAATGTGAGTTTGTCACTAGTCCGTGCCGCAAACCGTACTCCATGTAATATCAGCGAAAAAAATAGGCGGTACGCCGGATATGCGATACGCAATATGATCGGCTAAACTGGACATAACCAAAAATTATGAATTCTGCTTCTGACTTCCGAAGGAGAAAGATTTCTTAATATTTACTATCGGCAGTCTAAATTATTAATTTTCGAAATCATATTTTGTCTTATATAATCTCGTAAATCTTTTGATAAGTCGACTCTATTCCTCTTACGACGCATTTTTCATTACGAAGGTCAGCCATTTCTACTTTGGGAACAAATTAAAGTTCATCGTAATTACATAAAGTGATTCATTCTAGAGAACATATAAAAATTGAGGTCATTTGCTGATTTGATTAACAAACACAACAGTGTGGTCCAGTACCGATCATATCACGTGATACCGCCTATTTTCCTAGTTGCTTACAGTTGCCTAGTTACTGTACCGCGTACTGCGTTCCATGTAATCGCATCCTAAGCCTGTGGCACGCGATATTTGTTCTTCTGCTAGATTTTTACTGCTAGATTAGAATCTTGTCACCGCATTGGGTGCGATGCTGTCAATGCCAGTATTGCAGCTAATACGGTGGCAAGATTCTAATCCAGCTAATAATCTAGCAGAAAAACAACACTGTGCCGCAGGCACAGTTTTTTTTCTTGAAAGCGCATTTCAGTTGGATGACTTTTGGGCGACTTTTGGGCGACACGAGTGCCCTCCATCAGCGACGAGGCCTGTCAAGTATCTGGCAACGTTAACATGAAAAGGCATCTTAATTTCAGTGTAATCTGGAGACTTTTTCGTAGTTTCATTTGGCAGAATATTTGATTTTCTTTTCAAACCGTTCGATTCGAAAACAACGAAAACATATCCGTAATAACTTTCAGTAATAACTTGAAAACACTTGAAAATTCAGATCAAGATTGATTTCGATATACCGTACAGTACAGAGAGTTAATTAATTAGAGAAGAAGATCAAGTGATATAATAATCGAGAGATTTATTTCTTATTAAATATCTTATTTTGCGAGTAGCAAAAAAATGTCACATAGACATAAACGATTATTCCTAAAGAAATTTTATGTTCCGATCTCTATACGTATATAGAACGGTATATCAAGAGAGAGAGAGAGAAAGCAATTAGATCGTTTCTGCAGTATAAATAAAGGTATATGCATTGTTCTTTATCTCGCTTAATAGTATTATCAAATTTAATATTATCAATCAAATGCCTTATATTTAACGCTTGTCTAAGTACTGAAATATTATATATTTTTTTTTCACAAGGCATTTTTCATATTGCACAGTGCAAGAGTAACTGCTGATTGCTATATATCTCGTCGTGATACTTTTGAGAATATAATTATTACGACTTTATCAATAATTATGTGCGCGCAATTTATAAACGAATATTATATTAATCTGGAGTATGATAAAAGCAACGAAGAGGTGAATATGATCTTGAGATGTATCACTGATGTTTATGTGATGATGCGCGCGCACGCACTGTGTATGTGTGTGTGTGTGTGTGTGTGTGTGTGTGTGGGTGTGTGTGTGTGCGGGCGTGCGCGCGCGCGCGAGAGAGAGAGAGAGGGGGGGGGGGGGGAGAGATTGATGTACCCCTACATGCATATCTAAACATTCTGGTAATAGATTATGAAATATGAGATTCAATATTATATTAATATTGGAAACAAAAGGCTTTATTTATGTTTTCAAAATACATTATATATTATTTTTGCGCATATTTTCAGGAAGTATTGACAGAAATATTGACTTTATCTAAAAAAATAAAATTTAAAAATACTGATGATTTTTCAACAAGGTAAAAAAAACATTTAATCTGAAAATACAAACAACATGGTAAAAATGTAATAGTTATTTAAATTATTTTCATCTTTATTATTTTTATTTTCATTTTTGTCCATCGACAGATTTCTTAAAACAGCATTTATAATAGAAAAAAATTTATCTCTTTTCAACTCTGCATGTAAACATGTAGATATAGCTACCACTATCCTTGAATACTTGAAAAATTTCGGTATAAAATTTATGTTTGATATTGAGTTTGGTACGTATGTATGACATTTTTGCAAGTACATTTGTAAAAATATATCAACATATGTTTTCTAATTATATTTATTTTGCTTACAAGTATGAATTGCATATGTTGTATATCATATAAAAATAAGCATAGATAATCGTATTAGATAATTTGATGAGAAATTCTTTCGTCTTGAATTTTTATTTTATTTCCTAGACAATTTAGATGAAGAATACAACAAAGAAGACATAATCTTATCGGTAGTGCTCACAATCTTCAATATATGTACAGAACACAAAGTACAATTATTTCTGGAAAATGCTATCATGTAACTGCTTTTAATATTTGTTTAATATGTTAACTTATATTTCTTATATTAAAATTCTAATATATATCATAACACATATATATATTTGTATGTATACATACTGCACTGACAAGATACTATTAAAAACGGTCGGTTCTGGGCAAAAGTTCACGACTATATCAATGAGGCCTCGAGGATTCGGATAATTGAAGAACGATGACATTATCGATAATATAATTAATAAAAATTTGCGATTATATTAACAAATATTTCGATAAAGCATTATTAAATTCATGATTTTTTATTATATATATAAATAAGTACGCATACTTTTGATGCTGTAATATCTTATTACAGCATTATGTTTGCAACATTATCGAAAAATTATAATTTTTTTCTCTGCAGTTATTGTCTCTATTGATAATCAAACTCTGATGATAATATTGTAAAATCACAGTTTTAAATAAAAAGAGTATTATTAAATTTTAAACATATATACATATCTACGAAACTAATAAATCGTGAAATTAATATCATACAGGTATACATGTATATAATCAGTTTCTTATTACTTTCAATCACTTAAATTTTAATAGTCATACGAACTTCCGTAAGAACCGACCATCTTTATTAGTATCTCGTTGGTGACACTTAGTAATTTTATAGATACATTACTTTTTTCAGCAAAAATTCAATACTAAATCAAATCCAATACAATTCTTTGAAAAATGAGCTTTTAAGTAAGAATAATATATTTGTAATGTAATAAAAATATACGTTTTAATTTTTAATGAGGATTTCTAAATTTCGCGTAGATCAAACCAATGAAATGATACTTCTAAAGGATTCAGATTTGTATGCAGTCATTAATTATTTAAAGAGAATAGGAAGTTCTCATATAAATAAAATTTGGGTCCAAGTAACAATTAAGCAGAAATTTTTGTCTCTCATAAAGAAATATTTTCATCGTAAAGATTTTCGTATATTTAAATCGACCATTCATATATTTAAATCGACGAAAGAATTTACACCCCGTACATCATATAACATGAATATAATGTCTATATGGTCAGAAGATCTTATATATGCAAGATATTTAGCAACACTTTTAAATGTATGTACATATTTAAAGCAATATTACGGAAATTTCGTCTCATAAACAATATTAATATATAATTTCCATTGTTAATTCAGAGAGACATTATATTTGTAAATGTGCATATGGATCTGTATGGTGGAGGCATACTTTTACCATATGTAAAAGTATTTAGCAAAATACATGAAGGATTTAAGCTTACTTTCAATGATGATTCGATACGAGTACCAAGTGCAAACGAAATAAATCTCTCACGTGTTGCCAACAAGGAATCTATATCAATCTGTAATTTGTTTTATGACGGCAAATGGCACAAACCCATAAAAAATATGTATTGGCTTCATAATAACATGTTATGGCCAAATGCGACAAAGTATGAATGCATATATGTATTAATTGTTAAATTTTAATATATTTTTTTCTTAGCTTTAAGAAGTTTGATAAAATTTATACATTAAACGTAATCAATTATTATTTATTACAGAGATGATATTAAGATCTGTTTTAATTCCGCTATAGAAGGATTCAAGATTTGGAAAACTTGGTCAACTACGAATAGAATAGACGTGTTATCTCAAATGATAACGATACTAAATTATGATAGGTTAGATTATTAAAATTTTGTGTGTGTGTGTGTATCTACTTATCTACATCCTCTTATTTAAATTTATATTCTATGTTTCTTTACTCTTTGGATAACTTTCAATTACTTGTTTTTTTCTTTATCTTTAGTAAATTTTCCAAAAATGTATTAAAATTGACTGCGTTCTCCAACTTTACTCGAGCATGGTTACTTTGTTCTCAAAATGATAGATTAGAAATAATCCAAAATCGTATTCCAAGAGGCGTTATCATTCTTAAGGAGAGATCTGAAGAAATTTTGATTTTTCGATTGATACAAATTTTAATTTCCGGCAATTCTGTTATTGTAATAGCTGATAAACATTCCTGTAGTTTGGCACCTTATTGCGATATCTTTTCAACATCTAAGATACCAAGAGGCGTTATAAATTTTTTGTTTAATCAAAACACAAAAGATATAGAATTAAGTTTATGTGCAACAGATTATGTAAACTATGAAAAACAGTTATTCACATCCAACTTCGAAAAAATGTATATAAATCTTACATTATCCAAACAAATTGTACTCTCTCTCAAATAATGTTATTAACAATGAACGTCTATAATCATTTGTAATAAAAACAAGAGAATATGAGTACTTTGAAATATTTTTTTATTACGCAATTTTATAAAAACACTTATATATAAATTTATTAATCAATTCTCTCAAAAAGTTACAGTTGGATAATTATATTTTATGTTAAGATACTTTATGAAAGATTTAGAACGTTTTGAATTTTTACTTATATATATAAGTATGTGTAAGTAATAGTAAAATTCAATTCAATGTTATGAAAATATTTGATACTTTGACAAATTATTCATATCATGTAATATAGCTTGTAATATTATATAGATAATTGTAGCAACGATTTAAAAAATAAAGAACAGGAAAGATTTTTCTTTAAATTTCTTTTATAATGGAGCTATATTATATGTACCTTATTGACACAACTGTAAATTACAGATTAATTTCAATCATTTATAATTGATGTGTAAGCAAAATAATCAGATAATGCAGTGTCTCAAAATAATGTTTATTTATTTATTTACCAAGGATAATATAATTATTATGGATTAACAAACATTTTAAACATTATACTTCACATACTCCTATAATATTACAGGCCACATTTAGAAATATGTTCGAAACAAATTATTATTACTTATACATCTTGTGTTTTATAATAAAATATAAACAAGGTTGCATGTAATGTAATAATCTGAATTATATAATGTATTCTAAATGTGGCCATTATAATTTTATAAATCTTATGTATTTATAGAAAAGAATGGCTCAAGTTGAATTTCAGCATTTTGATGTCACCAAACACTTAGACTTCACCACTCAATAATTTCTTATCGAATAAAAATTCTCCCAAAGGTCCATGCGCTTGCATCATTTTACCCAACACTGAGATTTTGCCTGCGAGGTCGCGTTGCCCTTTATATTGTTCCTCTAAGAAATCGGTAGTGAGGTAGTCGACCAACTGTAAACAATTGCGGCATGACAGTAATTTTTTATGTATATTTGTGTATGTGTGTGTGTGTGTGCGCGCGCGCGCGCGCGCACACACACACACACACACAAAGATTAATTATTTTTAAACAATGCTCACGTGGTAATCGTTGAAAGAAGATGTTTTTGGAGTTTCGCACGTTATGATTATATCACGAATACTGCGTGTAACTTGAGCCTCTAATTTTAAAGCATCGGTGAGAGCTTCTTCTCCACTGTTCCACTCCTGGCGTATCGGATTTGTATTGTTGGTAGTCTGATGTGAGAAAAATCGCGTTAGTGTTTATACTTTTTTTTCCCTTTATTTTTTCATCATTTTTACTCAATAATCTAAACTATTTGTGCAAGTTGTGTTTATTCGTGGAAAGTAGACTACTCACCAAAGGATACTTGAGAAGTTTGCTGACATCATTTGTAAGTTGTCCACGCATTAGCAAATATTCGATGATCTTTATAGCATGCTCTCTCTCTTCGCTTGCGCTTTCGAAAAAGAACTTGCTAAAGCCTGGGCGATTTATAGTATCACGTGCAAAGTGAGCACCCTATATAATGAAAAATTAAATCTTAATGTAACACGTTATAATCAATCTGTTTTCATTAATTTATAACAAGAAATTGTATTGCATATATATATATATATATACACATATGTGTATATATATATATGCGCGCGCGCGTGTGTGTATGTGTGTAGAATAAGAGAGAGGAAAAGAGAAAAATATGTTACAAGTAGACTATATACCATCGCGAGATATTTCATAGCAGCTTCCATTTCAGTTTTAACTTGAGACTCCATGAGTTTTGTGCACGGATCGGTCATGTCTATCCATGATGTTGGTATATCAGCAGGTTTAAGAAGACCTAAAGAGATGTGATAAAATGATTAATCTAATAGTCAATTAAATGTACAAATATAATACTATAAATAAAAGCCTTGTTGAATTTATATTAATTATTGTCTATTGATGAAATTTGTCTACTATATTGCGTGATAACTCATTTCTTAAATAACAAAGTATTACTTATCATTCAGTTATCAAAAAGATTAAATATTTTATCGATGCGTGACTGATGGCTCATAATGTTGATAGCATCTCTATTAGCAGTAAATGATTAACATTAAGAATAATCACAACGAGATATTTTTTGTGTCACATTACTTTTATTTTCATTTATATCTTTATTTCTACTTTTTTACGCACATCGGAAAAAATATAAATTATTCTCAATCATAAAATTAACTGTTATTATTATGTTTACATATATGAATTAATTTATAAAACATATAATTCTATCTTATATAGTATATGTATAATTTCAATGAATATAATATTAGTTGTAAATTAAAATTGGTTGTATTGTGATAGAATTAAATTTATTTTTATAGAATATATGCAAATGAATCAGAATCGAATCATCATTTATCATAATGGACTTGTATCACACGTAGCATAGATGTAGTATACACAGACGTTAGTGGATGAGTAATATAGATTGAAACGGACTTTGAAATCGGTATGTATACACTCCATCGCGACTTATCATCAAAAGCTATCTTTGTACAAAACAAGGTCAAGTCAATGATGAAGTGAATTGATTTGCTGTAGAAGAGATAAGTATAGACGTGACACATGTTGATAAGTATTAATTACTTGATAGTAATTAATTGTTCATGATTATAAATGAAAAAAAGATCTTTTCTACAATAAGACTAATTTTTGAATTAAACTTTCTTCCTGTTTACGAAGTGAAAAGGTCTCCCTCTTCGTATTTTCAAATGTACATATGTAAATTTTAAACAGAAATATTCATTATCGTCGAGTCGGAGAGAGAGAGAGAGAGAGATATCACGAGAGATCACAGCTGAGGCAACTGCGTATCGACACTGACTATACAGCTCTCTTTATCATGTGTTGATAATAGCTCTGTCGATTTCCCGCAACTGATTTTCTCTAACGACTCTAGTTTTATCGTTTCTAGTTTTATACATGTATTAACATAATATGGTGATACTGAATCGGGTCATAAAAACAAGATTTGATAAAATCATGCCATCTGTGAATAAAATAATACAGATTAAATATGTACACATATACAGAAATAGAAAAATATTTTGACGTACAAAGTGCGTCACAAAGATCAAATGCGTTTCCTTGTTGCTAACTTTCATTGAGAAATATGTTTTCAATTCTATTTTAATTCATTAAAAAAAGTTTGGACTGTTAAAATCGTATGTATATCTATTTATGTTGACGCACTATTATGGTAAGACGATTTTATGAATGCGACATTGAAATGTGTAATTTAATATTAATTTAGTTTAATTTAATTTGGATATACACAACATAGATACTTCATTATTTCTCTAATCAATTGTACAATACTCTATACACAGAGAATGAGAAAGAAGAAAGAAAGACTATATTCTTGATACGGTTTACAAAACCGTAAAATTGAAAATCAATTATGTCCGCGTATTATAGATATGGAACCAAATTCAAATGTAGTTTTGAAATCTTTTTCAAGGTTTTAAGCAATGTAATAAGCACAATATATGCACATATATGCGTATTTATTCATAAATGTATTTATGAAATATTTACAAAGGCAAACAAATTGTATATACTTTTTTTCTTTACACAAATATAGTTATCTTGGAGAAGGATAGAAGGCAAAGTTGTTTGTTTCATCAGAGTGAGTCGAGTTTGGGAACAAAATGGAAGAATTTTAGAAAAGGAAAAACAGTTTTTTTTTAAGTTTAATCTTACAAAGATTACAGATAATCTTATATTGGTATGACGGACATGAGCAGGCAATGGAAAGAGCTTGAACAACTCTCTTCCAAAGATTCCAAAGGTCACATTGCTCAATCAAAACAAACTATTGCATTCGCATGATTATTGCTTTTCACGCTTGCGGAGTCACTCCATGTTTCACGAGGCGCGCAAAGCACTCCTCGTCGTATTTTGATACCAAGGGATCGATTATGTATTTTGAAATAAAGTGAAAATTACAAAAAAAGAGTAAATTTGTTAGAATAAATCTATTAGTCAATACCTATTGGATTTACTCACTTTTATCATTTTTACCTCATTTCGTTTCAAGATATGATGAAATCATTTTTTTTCTACATTGGAGAAAGTGGGAAAGACAACCGGACAAAGGAAGGACCGAAGGAGAGGAGAGGAGAGGAGAGGAGAGGAGAGGAGAGGAGAGAAGAGGAAAGGGGGAGAAAGTACGCATGTCGATTGTAAACTTACACTTGAGCCCGTCTCCGAAGGTGCCACTGATGCAGGCTAGGATGAAAAAGACGTAGAGCAGCTTCGTCATCGTGATGCAAGAAAGAGACTAGAAAGAGTATTCGAAAGAACAGTTCTGGCCAAGGCAAGTTCTGGAATCCCGGGAAAGAACAGGACGCGCAGAGCAGAGCGGAGCGGCGCAGGGCGGCGCAGCGGATCGTTCACCTCGTTCAGAAGCAACCTTTATACGCACTGGTATAGAAGGCTGCCTTCGTCGAAGTTAGATAAGAAAGCGCGGCGACGGCGACTAAACGCGTCTGGATGTCATCGATCACCTTACAACAATGACTACGATCATTCGACTAACGCGGGACATTCGCACTTTAACCACACAGGCGGGGATAGCCAGAGATAACTACGAGTACGCAGCGACAAACGTGGACGAACGACGACGAAGGCGTTGAAATCTACTGCTTTCATTGGCTTTCATCTATCGTTTCCTCTCTCACGCGACGCCTGCGCTTGCGCCTCTCCCTCGTCAGCTGACTCATTGCTCTACCGTCTAGAGTGAAAACTCCCATCTCTGCGCTGGGCAACGTTCATTGTCGAAGGAACGTCGAAGCGAGAGTATTCACGTTGCTTCTCATCGAACGTTGCTTTATCGTTTTATCGTTCGCGGCGAGAAAGGATAGATTCGAGACATCATTCAAGCTTGCTCCTTCAATCAATTTCCTTCTGCACGTACGTAGCGTATTATATTAAGAGATACTAAGAGATTCTTCA